GAAAATTTGTTTAGGAGCAATGTTTTATAAAGGGTTTAATTGGGGAATTGGTGGTTTTGGTCAGCTGTCAGTTTTGAAGAAACCTAGAGAAAGCTATATCAGCTAATTTAATGAATCATAATCATTGGCCTCAGAAGGAATTCAAACCCTTATTAATTCGTTTTCTAATTTAAAAATTTAGGGCCCAAAAACAATTAGCATTATAGAGGTACCATTTTTCAAACAGCGGGGTCTGAATAAATTTGGAAAAATTTAGCATTATAGAGGTACCATTTACTAATCAGGATCCAACATTATCCTGAAATCATGAGAGGCTCACGAAGACGTTCTCCAGGAGAGAATTGATTTTAGAGGGGGGGAGGGGGGGGGGGTCTGAATTGAGCGATCAATTATTAGACCCGGACGTCCCAACACTTGCTTCGCAAGACAAACTCAAGGTATCCCCTAAAGGGCTACCTTTCGTGACATATTACACATCTTTGGCTACAAAAACATATCCATGTTGCAGGAAGAGGTCTACCTACCAGTCTCATTTGTGACACGTGCAAACAACACGGCATCGTCATCACCATCAACATCATTGCCTAGCGGAGGCATCTTCAAGCGCCATCATCAAGCGAATCATAGAAGGAACGTGGCAAACTGAGTCTGTTGCAAAAGTCACACATGTCAACTTGAAACAATTGGCATGTTAGCTGTTAGCAACATGTTTAAACTTTCATTGAACATCTGCAGTTGCTACATGAACCTAGTCGTGCAATCATGCTATACTTACTGCGTATAGACATCTTATTTTCTTGTGCCCGGTCTGCAGTGAACGTGGGTTCTGCTCATCCAAGTTGAGAATCTTCTGTGCAAGTATGTGGCGCCACCTGGCTTGTCATCTCTTATCATCATTCTTGATCTGAACCCTAAACATTGCATCCCCTGAAGCACACCCTAGATTTGCGCTACAAATCCACATCCTCCCTATGCCAAATACTCCTTCTCCTTCCCCCCTCCGTGTGCCTCCACCGGCTGCTCTCGCCCCACGCTGACGCGGCAAAGCTCGTCGCCACTCAAGTGGCGGATCAGCAGCTGGAGCTCATCGCTCATCAACTCCCGCAGGTTGGAGGTGTTCTACTTCGGCCATGATGCGTTCGCGTTCGATTTGGAGGGAGTCTTTGGGAGGTGGCCATTGGGCAGTGATGTTGGTTGGCTGGATCAGCCTTGAATGGTGTTTTTCTGGCGGAGTCTGTCGTGGGCATTGTGTGGCGTTGACCTAACTGTCCTAATGCAGCGCCTGCCTAACCACCACTGTGGTGCCCTGCACATGGTTCGATCTTCAAAGGCCAACATAAGTGGACATATTGGCACTAAACTACTCATGGCCCGCAAGACTTTAGTATGGATTGTAATGCCATGTGAATGTCCAAAGCCATCAGTAGACTTACAGATTTGAGGTGTCTTTCAGTGCTCGCGGCGGTGCACAATTGCTTTCATCGAATCAACAGAACTACTGTATTTAAGGTAGGGACTACTGTAGGGTTCTTTGCTGTGCGCTGAGCAGGGCGGTCTCATTTACAGGTACTGGGTGAGGCAATGTGTGGCTAGAAACATGAGCCACACAAGCTCGGAGGTCGATGTCTTCTGTTTTCTGTGCGTTTTGCGAACAAGAGCTTCTGCGTTGTCCCGAACGCTCCTGCAGCCAACAGCTGCTGAAACCTCAAACCAGGACAAATCAAGTGAAGGTCAAACCTTGGTACAGCCAGTTTTACTTCTTCCGTGTATGGCCCTACCCCCTGCAGTGGACTAAACATGGTGGATCTGTGTTGCATAGCTCAACATCAAGATCAGGACACCACAATTTTCAGGTTGAATCCGCCTTCCCCATCTCCATCTCTTCACGCACTGCACGAATGGGCTGAAGAAAAAGGAACCAGCCAGTGACACCTCATGAGGATAGGATGTTGTCCACAACCCAGAAAAAGGCAAAATCTTACAGCGCAATGTGAAATACACTATATATATATAATTTGTGATTGACACAAAGGTAGCAACAAAAGGTCCTCCTCCCCTCGCACAGCCGCGTGCGTTTTCCACTCACAGCTCACCTGAAGGT